GAATCACACATTGTCGTGCAAAGTCTTACGCGATGAAATTTTGCGCAACGAAACACACATTGTCACGCAAAGTCACTTTGCTTGCGCGACAAAACTTTAAACTTCACCACGCAAAGTCTTTACAATAATTTTTTAAAAAAAATTAAAAACTTTGCGCGATGAAATCTAAATATTTCGCCGCCTAAACCCAATTTATTTCTTTTTTATTTAATTTATGTTTTAAATTGTAATATAGATTATTTTTATTATTTTTTAAAAACTTTGCGCGACAAATATTAATGTTTTGTCGCCTAAATCTTATTTATTTTATTTTTATTTTATTTTATATTTTATTTTATATTTTATATTGCTAACCTAAATTATTTTCTTTATTTTTTATTATTTTCTTTGCGGGACGAATCAACATTTCAACGCCTAAACCCTATTTATTTTATTTTATTTATATTTTAAATTGTAAAATAAAATTATTTTCTTTTTTATTATTTTTTTAAAATTTTGTGCGACGAATACTAATATTTGGTCAATTAAACCCTGTTTATTTTAATTTTATATTTTAAATTTTCTAATAAAATTTATTTCTATAAATTTTGCACGATGAACCAATATTTCGTCGCACAAACTCATTAAATTTGGGTGGGTGTCGAAAATGGGACGCAGAAAATTTAATTTTTAAATTTTTTAAAAACTTTGCACAACCAATCTTTCGTCCCGCAAAGTTTTGCGCGATGAACAAATGTTTCATCGCACAAAACCCTAAAACTTTGGGTGGGCGCCAAAAATGGGGCGCGGGAATTTAAAAAAAAATATTTAAGACTCTATGCGACCAATCTTTGGTATGAGTGTTTGGAGGTAATTTTGGGTTTGGGTGGGGTTTAGGGTTGGGTATAGGGTGAGGGGTGGAGTTTGGGGTCGGATTTGTGGTATGCCGATTTTAGGGGAGGTTATGCCCATTTTTTGGTATTATTTTACGTTGTTTTTTTTTTGTTATTTGACCATGTTTATTTATTTTATTTTTTTGCAGGGAATCGTCGGGACTTTGACGGAGAAACTTGACGATTATGACGCTATCAAACCATATCCCTCGCCACCACCACCACAATAGACTTGTATTAGGATTTTATTATTGTAATTTGTTAATTTATATGTACATTTTTAATAAAATGTATATTATGGATAATTTGATCACTATTTTTCATATGTAATTTTATTTTGAATATGTCAATTTTAATTAAAGTAATTAAAAAAATAAAGTCATACAATTAAATTAAATTCAAAAAGTAAAAATTCAAAAAATCTTGCGCTACCAAATATTTCGTCACACAAACAATAACTATAATTAAATTAAATAATAGAAATAATAAAAAAAAGGTCAATTTAATTAAATAAAAAAATAAAAACCAAAAACTGTAGTCATGCAAAATATTAAATTAATTTAATTAAATCAAAAATCAAAAACTTTGCTCGACAAATGTGCAACAAAAACTTCGTCGCGCAAGGTTTTGAGCTACGAAATCTTACTTTGCACAACAAATTTTATTTCGTCGCGCAAAATGTTTTTTGTAGTAGTGGTATGTGGTTGTTGGTGGGTCAGATCACTCGAATCCACCTCCTACGGCTTAGTTTCCATGGTGGATTTGCTCTTCTCAGTCAAATATGTAGCTATGTCGCCCAATCTATGGTGGCTCCGCCTTGCTTAGCTATTGGCAGTTGCAGATCTCACTAAAATCAATACGGATGCAGGTGGTCTTGGTTGGGTATCCAATTTCATTATGGAGATAAGCCAATGGTGGGTTCCTTGTCGGATTAATATAGATTGTGTTTGTTATGCGTTGTTTGTCAGGCCTAGCGAGTGATGTGCCCTTGCCTATCAGTGATGGCTTATGAGGCCTCTCGCGTACAACAATCACTTTATATGTGATTCGATATGGACTTGTTGTACTTTTATGCGCAAACGGAAGCGAATTATAACAAAGTACCAAATATCAATGTCGTAGGTGAAAGCTAAAACAAACAATCTCAAACTGACACAAGAGATTTATGTGGTTCGGCGTAAAGCCTACTCCACAGGCGAAGCACGTCGAGGAATTTTATTAAACAAACGGAGATTGCAAAAGAGTGTTTAAACTCTTACAACCCAAATCCCACAAATTACAAACCCTAAACCAAACGAGAAGAGAACCCAAACCTAACGGAGAAGATTCTCCCAAATTGCTCTCTAACTCACAAATTGACTCTCACCAAATTGTCACACGAATGGGCCACACAAAATACACTAACCCTAAGGTCCTATTTATAGTGCATAGGACTTAGGTTACAATAGGAATCCTAATAGGAAATAAATCCAAATCCTAATCAAATAGGTAATTTACAAAATCTCTCCACCAAGGAAACTAACTAAGAAGTCAAAACCAAACCCAAATAGGACACCAAAACCTAATTTATTGCATCATCCTAATTATGAGCCAAAAACCCAACAATGTGCCCTTGCCTATCAGTGATGGCTTATGAGGCCTCTCGCGTACAACAATCACTTTATATGTGATTCGATATGGACTTGTTTCATCTATTGTCTTTGTAGTAAATTTGTACCAGCGATCTTGTGCTTGTGGGCATAAAAGGGCTTGATCATTTTTTTTTTTTTAGTACAAATTGCCTCTAAATTATTGTATTAGTCATTAGAGAAATGTACCCAGGTGGCACCCGTTGTAATTTAGGTTAGTAATGGAATCGTTGTGTCAAGAAAAAAAAAAAACTTCTCTTAACAGAATGAATAACAAAACACTTTAAGAGAATCTTTAAAAAAATTTGTTAAACCAACAATTGGTTAGAGTAAAAACAAAAATAGTTTAGCTACTCAACTTAACTTTTTAATCTCCTACAACATTCTTTATTTTAACAAACTTTGATTATTTTATTATTATAATTGAAACCCAGACCGCTCATTTTCTAAAACAGTCTTCTTTATCTTCCTTCTCTCCTTGCTCAAGGGTTCACCCTTGATTTTTATTTTTATTTTAATATTAGCTGATGAAAAGTTGCTCTGTAAATTTAGAGAGTGATTGTTCATTTTGCTATAACAATGTTTTTTTTTTTTTTTGGCTAGAGAATAAATAGAAACTTTTTATAGAGTCTGGAGGTTTGTTTTTTTTTGTTTTTAATTTGACTCTTTAAAATAAAATTTTTGTTGTTTTACATCATCTCTTAGAGGTAGACCTGGCATTCGTGTCGTTTTCGTGTCATACCTGATATCTTAACGGGTCGTGTCGTGTAACACCCGTTAAAATAAACGGGTAAAATGACCCGACCCGAAATCGACCTGATAATATTAACGGGTAATATGACCCGACCTGTTACCCGTTAAGGAAAATATATTTTAAACCAATAAATAATCAAATGAAAAACATAATACTAAATAAGTATATACATACCACATTGTCACATCCAAAACATAAAACACATTTTTCTTTTAAGTATATTTTCACTTACCTAAAGTCTTTAATAGTTTTTTAATTAATGTAGAAGTGTAAAAAAAATATAGAAAAAAAATATATAAACGCTCGTAATGACAAACTTTACAACTTTCATGAAGAGCTTAACTTCGAAATTCGCCACTATAATCATATAAATCATAGATCAAAATTTAACCGTTGATTGTTGTTTACATTTACACTTCATTATTCTCATCAAATTTGTTGTTTCAGATTTTCTTTTTTGAAAACTTGATCTATTAGAGGATGCAGGAAGATGAACGGTTTGGATCGTTGATATTATATTCAGAGCTTTACGGTTAGTGAAAATATTGTTTGATATTTATAAAGTTTCTACAAACTATATGACATCAACTCATATTTCAGTTAACCGTAAATATCGAAACGTGATATCAAAGATCTGAACCGTTCATCTTCTTACATCCGCCATATGATCATGTTTTCAAAAAAGAAAATTTTAAAAAGGAAATTCAGTAAGAAGAATAAAGCACAAATGTCAATCAACGGTTAAATATAAATTTAAGGTTTATGAATTATAGAGTTGGATTTCGAAGCTAACCCTTCATGAAAGTTGTAAAGTTTGTCACTATGAGTGATTGTAAATTTTTTTTTACATTTTTTACACTTCTACAATAATTATTATTAATTTTATTAATTTTTCCCTCAAATAAAAAACATTATTCATGAAGGTTTGGAGGATTTTAAAAATCTAAACGATAATGTAAGTATAACCATTATCTACTCATGGAGGAATAATGATGAATCACGAGTGTTTATATATTCTTTCACATTTTTCATACTTGTATGTATGTCTTCTTAGTTCTTGCCTATACAAATACTATATTAGTTTATTTTAATTTTGGACAACAACATGTTAAGTAAAATTTATCCTAGTAATGATAATAAGGAACTCTCATAATAAAAATAAATAATTACTAAAACATTTTTTTTAAACCTATATAGAATAATAATGCAAAACTATATATTTAATATAGAATATATTGTATATATTAATATGGCTATTGTATTTTATAATAAATCTTTTAGTAGTTAAACTTTAAAATTATCAAAATAAATTTTTTCTTAACGGGTCGAAACAGGTTACCTACGTGTTACCCACGTGTATACCCGTTAAGAACCCGTTACTAACGGGTTCTTAACGGGTCACCCGATAATGACCCAAAACGTTATTGTGTTGATCCGAAATCCGCTATTTTCATGTCATTTTCATGGCGTGTCACCATGTCGTGTTAGAAACTGCCAAGTCTACTCGGAGGCAGTGGCGGAGCCAGGATTTCGGGTTAGGAGGGGCCTCTTACAAATATTAAAAAAAAATTAAATCGATAGTAGTTACAAAACTGTTAACCAAAACATCATAGTATATATATGAAAAGTAACCAAAACATCATAGTATATATATGAAAAGGATCATATTGGAGAGTTTCCGAGTTAATTTCCATAGAATAGAATCCACACAAGTTTGTTTTGAACTACTTTCATTGTTTTTTGGACTCTTTGGAGACGGTTCTAATATCTCAGGTTGTGTTTTTCTTTTGAAATATCTTTCCATAACTGAAAAGTAAAAAAACATAGACTCACTAACTTTAAATTAAAAGAAATATGAACATATATGCTAATTTTACAAACTAAAACAAATTAGGCAATAGTTAAGAGAAATTGCAAGACATCAATTTAATCATAATTTATAAACAAAAAATTGTAACAGGAATTGAGAGTAAAATACATACTTTGGGTTGTTGACCAATTAACTAAACTTCAATGTCTTTTTTATGGAATGATGGAATAATTGAATTCTTTAATCTGCAAAAAAAAATATTATTTGTTAAATTAATTTACAATTGTAGATGACAACATATATGAATTAGCAAATTGTAAAAAAAAAATTGAAAATGACAACTATGGAGATTCGAAGTTCATACTCTTGAGGATCATGGAAATTGAAGACTGATAGATTGATAGACTGGTTGAAGACTGTGACATGCTATAGATGAGAGAAGCAGTGTACGGCTTGTGTACCACGGGAGGGATCAGACTGAGAGAAGCAGTGTTCTGACTATTTTTTTCAAACTAGCAGCAGAGCAACAGTCGGCTAGAATTAGAGAATAATAAAATACTAATTTTTGGTATTGGGAAAATGAATGGAAGATGAAGTTTTGGAAGTTGGAATAGGTTATAGGTAGGCTTTAGGGTTATTTAAAGAGGGCCGGATATTCTTAAAATATTTAAAGAGGGCCGGATAGTTTGTCTAGGAAATATGAATGATTTAACTGAAAATAATAAAATAATAAGTGGTACTAATTTTTAGTTATAAACAAAAGCAGGATGGGCCTAGGACTACTATGGTCCTATGGTCCCTCCGCCCCTGCTCGGAGGTGCTTCTAAGATTGTGGCAAGGCAAACAGAATGTTGGGTAGGTCGCTCCAAATCCAGGTCTTAAATATAGGGAAGAATAAAGCGCGCACCACACGGTGAGTACAGGAGATTTCAATTAATTGAAAAGTCAAAGAATCAAAAGTCAATCACTACTCGCAACTTGCATCTTGCATCCCGCTAGGGTTAGCTAGTATAGCTTCTGAGTTGTAATACAATGACCCCCACGAATTCCACAATTAAAGAATCTGTTTGGTTACGTTAAATGGAGGGGGAGGACAAGCTAGCCAGGGTTTTGGGTCGACCATGGCCACCACCATGAAGATATATGACATCGATTTCACAAAATCTCCTTCCTTTGGCTTTTGTTATATACCCTCTATAACAAGCATATATAAATGTATCTAGGGTGCTAGTTACGAAAGCTATTGGTTTTGGTTTGGAGGACTGAATAACCACGCGGTGCTAGGGTTTAGCCTAACAGTATTTTTTTTTTTTAATTTAGAATTGAATCAATTATTGTTACTCTATCCAGAAATGAAAGATATGATAACTTACCTTTTTTTTTTCAAATTATAGATTTGTTAGATTATATGTTAGATTAGAAAGCGGACAGAATTTAAACTCATACCGTGGTGTAAGGGCAACACTCCTCTTCATCATTCTGATAGAGGGCCACTTGCTGAAAGATATGATAATTTTTTTGTCAAACACAAGATATGATAATTAGGTATGGCATAATTAATAGACATTGTTTGTTAATTTACCGCTCTTTTTAAAAATAGTATGCTATTGACATTCTAATAAAATATCATAAATTGCTTAAGCTAATTCGTGAGATGTGGTTTAATTTGTGTCTACAAAGTAATCTTTTGCATGCCTCGTATTTAAATGTAGTTAATACTTCACGGGCATCGAATCCAGGTACTTATCCTATTTCTAACCCTAATCCCTGAACTGTAGCTTTTTTTACACTCGAGTGAAGAAATCTTTGTAACTTTGTACACTTGCAGGAGCTGTCACTTAATTGATATCTAAATCAAATACCAGAAGTTCGTTTTGAGTGCTAGAGAAATCCTATTAAATTATATGCCTACTAATTAATGATGATTATCTTGTCTTATTAAAATATAATAACCTGTGGTTAATTAGTGTCCCACAAGCAGAATATCACATATTCCTCCAAAAGAAATCAAATCCAAGTTGATGGTGCATTAGGAACACCAATTAATTGAAAATGAGAGATGATATATCATTCTAATCCTTGTCCGTATACCTAATACACTTTTTTATTGAGATTAGTTACAATTTTATGTTTATAAATACATCTTTTAGGAAGGAAAAAAACAAACCCGGCTAACTTAGTTTGAACTCATCAACTTTGTTGACTTGCTACTCGCATCTTCTGTATGATATTGCTGTCTGTAAAAAGCTAGACCGAAATAAAAGAAAATTTGGAAAGGCTGGGAAGAGATAGTGATGATACAAATTGTTGATATACAACCAAATGTTACTCTCTCATGAATGACTTCTGGTGAATCAGCAAGCACCGGTTACAGTATTAGAGTGACCCTTAATATTGAACCAAGGACTTGGAAAATTGTCTGAAAATTCATCCGAAAACCAACCATCCATGACTGGTTCCAACTTTCTATCCAAATCCTCTAAGCTTGGGAAAATTTCATCATTCACCGTAGTATCCAAAAAAAAATTTTCCTTACTAATTTCATCCTGTTCCGACAATTTTGCTTCCACTTTTACAGCATTAATATTCACGCTTTCCACAAACTCACGATCATCTTCAATGGATGCGGCAATATTAGGCGTAGCTGGAGAATTCAAAGAACTACCACACTTGTCCTTGTTTTTAGATGAAGAGAACTTGCTTCTGGTGCTGCCAGCAAGAGAGTTTCGACGAGTTGGATAAACATGGTTGTGTTCTGCAGTGTAGGTTATGATGAACGTTTCAGGATTCGAACAGCTCCTTTCTACTTGTTTTCTCGCTGAACATCCTTTTGAGCTGCTGCATCTGTAATAGCTCCTCGGATATGGCGATCCTTTGATGGGTTTTTGCCCATACTTACGCCACGCCCACACATCCGAAAAGAGATCTTCTGCTTTAACCTCTTTCACAACCCTTTTGTTCTGATTCTTCCTACTGAAATTAACATTTGAAAATAATAAAAAACAATTAAGCTTTTGGAAAACTTATTAATCTTGAATCAATTAATCAAAATTAAAAAATTAAAAAAATTTAATCTCATTTATTTCTAACAAGTAAGATACTGATATATTTAATTTCTTTAACCATTGGCAGCACAACAATTATTTCTTAATTAATTCAAGATCCCTCATAATAACTCGAATCAAAGGATTGATAGACCCATTCCATAAATAGGAATGGGCTTGGGTTTTGAACTTACAATCTATAATCTAATGATCAATTCGATCGATTTCATGGTTATAAGTTCATTCCATATCATACCATAGTAACCATACCATGATAGGGTTAGATACATTCTAATAATGCGAAGGGGAAATTAGGTAAAATAAAAAAATAAAAACCAACCTTATTCTTTTACGAACAGGTGTTGATTCCTCCATGTTTTTTATCAGCTTGGGTGCTAGTGTGATGATTTCTTGGGGGACAGATATGGAAGAGGTAAGAATAGTTGGTGGGGTTGTAAGTTGAAAAACTGGGTAAAAAGGCTTGTAAAGCTCCTCCAATTCATCTAAAGTTGTTGTGGCTTCAAAGGCCTGAGGAAATTTAGCAGCAAACAGTTCGTTGTCTTCTTGAAAGCTTAAAGGAGCACAGAAATATGGTATTTGGGAGTCCTCCATGACTTCATCTATATTGTTATTGCACCCTCTTACCACAGCTTGCAAATCCCAGTTCTCCATGGATACAATATCTCAGAGAGAGAGAGAGAGAGAGAGAGAGAGAGAGAGAGAGAGAAAGAGATGCTTGTATTAGCTAGGCAGCTGACTTTGGATTGTAAAGAAAGATGATGAGAAGAAATCTGCCAGGCTTGTTCTTATATATTGAGGAGGAGATTCAGATTGTCTGAACCCCAAAGTGCTTTCTCACTGGGTTGACTTTTGCACAAAGTCAAATGGTATTTTTGTGCACTCGCTATTTAACCATTTGACAACTGGACACCTTTGGCTTTTGGCATCACCAGCAGCCAATAAGGAACTAAGAAATTATAGATGTCAAAACTGAGCGATATGATACGTTTTGTGTGCGTGTTCCACTGCGTTTGGTAGTTATCGTCTCATATTTTCAGGAGCAATAATTTGGAGGGGTTTTGTTTTGTTTGTATAATATCTTCACGGTCGGCACTCTTCCTTAAGTCGGCCGCGAAGGCTGACAAATTGGCGTAAAATTTTGTTAATTGTCCTGGTCAAATAATATAAATTGGAAAATTTTCAACACATACGAAAATTAACAAAGTTTTTCTTTAAGTGCAACTTGCTGCGAATGCACCTCTCAGAATTGAGTTAAATTCTTCTGGTTTTTCTGGTGTGGGATAGAGTGAAGTTCTTGATAGGTTATTTTGGCATATGGAAGGCCAGTGTGAACTCAAATGAAAACTTTGAAGATTACGAAAAGAAACTAATTTTGGAAATAAATGTTGAGAAGCTTTGTGTCATATTCATCTAGTATGGGCATATGAATGTGAGCATTGGCTGGGATAAGAGGCTATCTTGTTGGTCCCCAATTCTAAGTCAAGTAATAAAGTTCCAACTCAATTTTGCCAAACAATTCATTCTTCTAAATACTTGTATGTATGTGTAATTGTGTAGGGATTAAACATGGTCCATCATATTAGGCTCATGTACTTATTCTATTTTTTTAAGAAATTATGAAACCCTAGAAGGATCAATATTAATTTAAAGTCACTACACAAAGGAAAACACGAGTTGTGAGCTCCCATCTATCTTATCCTGCAGTAAAAAACAAGTTATGAGCTTCCTTCTTCCATCTCTCTCTCTCACAATTTTCTCTACAACAATTTGGTCATTTATTTTTATTTATTTTTTTAAATTAGTTAGTAATGGTTAGTAAAAAAAAAAAATTGGATCTTTTGCCGTACATCTAATATATAGTCAATTATTAGGTTTAATCCTTTAGATTTCGCTTATCAATTTACGTTCATTGACTTTTGATCCAATTACACAACTTTCTTATTTTATGATGAGTCGGCCTATTTTTAAGGCTGTGTTTTTACAATTTTTTTCAATACCATGTATAACCTTATGCAAATTAATATACCTTTTCCTTTGTATCTATGTTTGCTTTTGAGAAATTGTAGGCATTGATAGGTATACTGTTATTTGGACCTTTGCATAAGGTAATTAATCATGGAAAAAATTTACAATTAGTTCAAGCACTGCCACCAACTGACACCAAGTAGGATGATAACTTCGGACAGCACTCAAATTTGTAAACCACATGGATAGATATATAAACCAACAGAGGTATTGACATTATGGACCTAACTAAAGGTCCACTACCGTTCATCACTGGTTCGTTAACATCTTCAAGCCATATATTCGTGGTGAAGGTTCCCTACCAATCAAACCTGTGGTGAAAGTTCACTACCTTAACATTAACAAAGGAACCAAACTCTTAACAAACAAACAATACCAACGATGAAGATATCAAACATGTGGAAGAAATTTATCAATATTAAGCCTATTAATACCAATGATGAAGATCAAAATCCCCTTGAAAGGGTTTTACTACATTGAACCGTTTAAAAGCGCATATGAGGCAAAATAGCAAAACCTCATACCCTATTACCCTGTCTGCATGGCTGCTATTTAATACAATGGACCGCAACAATATAATTGGACTGATTAGGTTGAAGCCAAATTTGTAGACAACATAAAGACATGTAGCACGTGTAGTCGTTGGGCTTCAAACGTGAGACAATTTGTCCTAATACTATAAAGAGAATTGAAGTTCTATCATAAAACCAATTGGAAGTACACGAAGTAGCCCAACCTCTTTATAAGCTCTTACAAAGTTTCTATTTCCACTTATGTGAGACTCTTTTACCTATACAACCTCACACCAATTATTGCTTGTTTTCCTATAACCTAGTTCTATATTGCTAGTTGATCTTTATTTTGTTCAAAATTATCCACGTCATATTAATTGGAGGGTGAACCTGCAGTACAGGTTACAAAGACAAGATGTCCCAAGTCATCTAACAAGAAATTTGAAACCAATGCTTGCAACTTGCAGGACTGATAATATATATATATATATATATAAAATATATAAGCTCCTTCCCCAGGCATGGGCATTCGAGTGGCAATCATACAAAAGATCTCCAAAAAGAAACGAGTTATGGAGGATAGGAAAGAAACCTCCTCAAAGACAAGAATTTATGTGGAAACGGTTTATTGTTATCGTAGCCTTCTAATTTAACAAAGTCTTATAAAGAAATTTTACACGACTTAATATTAATAATCTAAAATGATGTGCCATGAAAATGACTCACACTACCTTAGCAACTGGCTAATGTAAACGTCAAGCTGAGGGAAGATAGTTGAGGAATATTGGCTAGTTGAAGAATATTGGCTACTTGTAATTTGGTCCACCATCACTGTATATGACCACCGTCATGATCATATCATTTCATTGTTACAAAATTCTACTTTTGGCGTTTATTATATAGGGTTATCCTTTTCCTACCAAACTCGCAGCTACCTAGGAAAATTAGGAATTTAGTTAGAAAAATCGTTCTTGGTTTTTGGTCTTTGGTTTTGTAGACTATTTACGTGTACCACGCGGGATTGCAAGGACAAAAGGACTCGCTCGCTGGGATTTGAGAAACCCTAGTTTGAACTAGTCTGTTTTTTTTGGTCGAATAGTTTGAACTAGTCTTTACTCGTACCGAATTGTACTACATATATATATATATATATATTAGTTTGCGTGACAGCTTGTTTACATAAACTGTATATTTGCTTCATGTCTCAGCTAGTGAATCTCCCATCGTCGTCCATCGCAGTTATCTGCAACAGGTCCCTCTGAAGGAAAACTTTAAAAGATAAGACAATTAAAATAAATCTTTTTCTTGAGTGGGTAACTCCTAATACGTACTTGATTCTTTCAACGAGACCCCCCAACTCTGTGTGTTTCTATCACTCTGTTATATATAAGGGGATCATATTTTTTACAAGAATGGGGACTACTAGTATGGCCCACTCCATTACATCTTTTTACAACAGTCTGATCGTCGAAGTTTTAAGTCTTTATATATTCATAAATCTAATAGTTTAAAACTTAGTGCCTAATATTTTTATTTTTTTTTTTGGAAGAGCTTAGTGCCTAATATTTAGTGTCATAGATTATTCCCCTATATATATATAACATCTATCTATCTATCAATATTAGGGTGATTCTTTTGTCAACAGATGCTTGTCTTACACTCGTAGTCTCTAAAAGATCAGAACCAATTATATAGCATCTACTTCGAGAATTTAAGTATTGTACACGTTATTAGTCTAATCCTTTGTAAGAACTACCCGTAATAATGAACTTGCAAAATAAATCTCTTTATCATAAAGAGATTCGTTGTTCCTGACCTTGCTTCACCTTAATTATTATTTGAACAAGTAAAAGGTATGTCTTGGTCCGAGTGGGGATAACATTTCTCTTCTGCATGTTCATGGAGTTTTGAAAAACCCAAATATCTCAAAGATTGAGGGGTAGGATATTTATCAAACGAATTGCACTCCTTCGTATACGTCAGGAGTCCATTGATGAGAAGGGTCTGGGGAAAGCTTGAACCCAATTCCTACAGTGATGAATATAAGCGTAATTGAAATTCCTGGGGAATTATACATTTGTGTATTGATAAGACCATTCACTATTTCTTGAAGCTGAATCTCTTCCCTGGATGAACCATATAGCCAAGAGAAACCGTGAACCAAAATAGAAGAGCTTGCCCCACCCATGAGTAAATACTTCGTAGTAGCCTTATGAAACTGTACATCTTTCTTGGTATATCCAGATGATAGGTAGGAGCATAAGCTGAAACATTCTAGAGCTACAAAAATAGTTATCATCAAATCGTTAACACCGCATAAAAAATTCCTCCTAGAGTAGTTGTTAATACGAATAACAGAAACTCTGTTATAGCCATTTCTGTACATTCAATGTAATCTACAGATAGAGGAATACATAGAGTTGAACATAGTAAAATAAGAAATTGAAAGATTTCGTTAAAATTGTTCGTTTAGAAATTTCCCGAAAAGCTAATCGTAGGTTCTTCTCTCCATTGGAACAATAGAGCCGTTATGCTCATTACTAAATTTGTTCAGGAGATGAAATATAACCAAGCATATATCTATAAACATAATAGTATAATAAACATGAATTGAAATAAACAGATAAGTAATGGATAATTTGCTGCTGAAATTAAGGAGATAAAGAACATAAGGCAGACTTACATTTATAATTAATCTTCAAATGAGAGTAATACACACAACGTCATTACAAAAGGGCTGAAGCCTCTCACACTTGAACTGAATTGCACGCTCACACTTTAGACTATAATTATTTTTTATTTTTTACGATCTGAAGAAAAGCTTGGTTACAACTGAGCAGCAAGGCTCCTTAAATAACAAAACTAGAAACAAGACGATGAACTACGGAACTTTCAAATCTTGTTGAAGTAGAGGGTCACCATAAGCAGCCTTGCACAGTGCGCGGCGTCTTCATCTTATGAGGTGGATTTGACTCAGCTTCAATGCAAAAGGAAATGCTACTATTTAAAGGATTAGACCAACGCTCATAGCTACAGGAAAAGTAGCCAATTATTCAAAAAATAGAATAATTCTTATATCTCTTGACTTCTAAGAGCTGGAAAGGAGACATCTAGACACCTCCTTGCTTTGAGGAATGGACAGAAGAATCCCATAACAATCATCTCCATTATCTTCTGCAATGTCTTCTTCCATCTGTTGCTAGGAAGACGTGGATGCTGAAGTCATTTCTTCATCCAGGTAATTGAGGTCAAGAAGTTGTAAGACCTTTTTCCAGATCTGCTTTAGAAGAGTATGAGCTAGAATGCTCAATTAAAGACTTAAGTTTTTGAGCCTTGAAGAGAGTATTTGATGTCGGTAGAGATGATTTATCTTTACGAGTTCTTTCATTCGTGATTCTTCTGGCCTAAAAGGAATGAGGCTTCAGGTGTTCTTGATTAAACTTGCCCACCAATGAACATAAATCGTTCTCTCTAGCTGAGGAACATAGCTCCAAGCGTCATCATAATCTTCATCGAAATCATGGGACCATTTCAGGATCTAAGAGAGTTCATAAATCATCATGGAAAATTTGCGAAGGAACCCAGCTGGGTTAGCTATTTTCTGCAGCTTCAAGTTCGGAAGCATAGGGATGGTACGGTATTTTCTTGTGTAATATGCTACTGAATTACAATTTGTTCTTATGTAGAAACTTACAAAGATCGATCCGTTTATGGTGTATTTTAGCTTGCAACGTGAAGTGGCTAAGGCTGCGAGGCGAAGACGTAGAGCTCATACCCGAACAAGCTTTAGTTCCACTGAAACCTAAGGATCTCCAGATTGCTAAGAGCCTGGTGTCGTCTACCTCCCCATCATTGCAAAATTAAGTTGTTCATTTTTCGTTGAATTAGCTTCTGAAAACATCTGCATTGCAGGAGAACTACAGAGCAGAGCTGACATTGATGGTTGAGAGTGGGCAGAGAGCAGAGATTGAAGCTCTGTATTCTCATGGTTATGATTACCTGGGCAAGTTCATAGCAAGAAAGCCCAAAATTATCATTGTAACTCGACACTTGTAGCCATGTAAAGTGTAGGCTTTGGGTTGCATTGTAGCCTTGAGATGGCGACAACGGAAAGCGAATGACAACGAAATCACTGATAAAGAAAAAAACGAATTGCATACTCCTATCTTCTTAGTTAACAATCATAACAATGTGAAAACAACTCTACAAATGATGTTTACAATAAGTCGTATCCTCTCACCGAAATGGAAACAACAGAAGTACAAATGACACTGATTTTACTACAACAGAACTACTCCGGGTGATCCCCATATGAATTTAATTGTACACTAGACTTATCTGCAAATGTACGAATCACGATGCGGAAATCTCAAAATCGGCTAAGAAAAAGAATGACCTCTCAATATTTTTTAACAAAATCTTCAGCCCCTCCTCGACCTGAGACTTACTTTTTTTCCTTCCAGCATGAAAGTTTTGCTGCCGTCCAGCTGCACACAAAATCAACAAATTCATGGCTTGCATGGACACAAAAAAAAACGAAAAGATACTGAAAAAAACTCCAAATTCAGAAAGGGCATGCTTCCTTGCCATTTATCGGTGACCGAGCACCCCCTCAATAATAGTGAGATAAGTGCAACTTTACGAGGTCCAAGGATTTTATAAAAGCATTCTATGCCTCGTTTTTGTTCGCATGTATTGGATTGGATTAGCCACTGCATTCAATGCATGTTGAAGCAAAAAATGGATGTCAACTTTAAAATCTAGTCCAAGTTTCCTTCCATCTCTAATCCAACCTCTAATTTCAATTTGGACAAGATTTAGAAGATGACATCCATTTCCTGCCTCAAGATACATTGACCCTTTTCAATTATCCAATCCATTCCAATACTAACCACCAAATGAGGCCATAATATTTCTTAGCTCAAACAATTAAAACATAGACCTTACTTTTTGTCTCAAATAAGCAAGAGCATCTCTCTCTGAAGAAAAGTCCGAGAAAACAGAAGACAAATGTTCGTCGATCAAAGCTTTCAACGTTTTCAGCTTCAGTGACTCTCCAGGTGCCTGGGCATGGAATAGAATTAGTGCCAGATAAATTCTGAGAATCACAAGTGCAATTTTGGAGGACTCACCTGACGAACGAGCTGTTTACAAAGCTTTTTTAGCTTCACTTTTGGTTCATTGCTAATTTCCATTTTCAACGAGTCATCTCCTTTTTGTTTCACAGGAGAACCAAGATCAGTAGAATCTTCATCATCGCTATCATTAAATGATGTCTTTTTCCCCTCAAAGTAGCAACCAGCTACTTTCTTTTTCCGGTCCCTGATGCCTAGTCCTTGCTTTCCAGTTGTGGATTTATCCTGGAAACATAAGACGCGCACATAGTGATGGTCTTACCGATAATGCAACTCTTTTAAGTAATGCACATTAAAGAAAAAGGATCCAACCAGGAAAGTACCTACCTGAACAAGATTGTAAAGATTCACTTGATCATCCTCGTAAAATATTTTTCTCTCATTACCATTTTCAGACATTTCTAATTTTCTTCTTTTCATCTCTGCTCCAAGCAAACCTCCGCGGGTAAACCCATATTTATGGCCCCACCAATCTGAAGGAATTTCTTTGCATGCTTCTCCTGTAACAATGTGATAAGATCATTACACAAAACAATGGTTCAAGCAAGCAACCAAAAAGCACAACCATTAAAAAAATGTAATCTCATAAAAACTTCATACAAAGATTTACTTTCTTTTAACACAGAAGAATCTACTTTAAACTAAAACAGTAGAACGTGATAGTAAATTGTGGGCTGTTCATATTTAAGCCCTTTATAACATCACAGTTTAGCGAAAAACACTTCAAACTCAATATTTTAGAGAAAAGCCCAATTTACTTCGTAACACCAAGGGTATTTGACAACTACGAATAAGTTAGAGCATGACAGGTAGATAAATGAGGGTTGTTCTACTACTGATCTCCTTAAGTGTTTTTCTCTTAAACTTATAGTTGCTGAGGTGTTCTATCTAATTTACCATTAAATTAGGGGTGTGATATCCACACACCCCATTTTACTTCTCACACACCTTTTTAATTTTCGGCCGTCAGATCGGATGAATTGAAGAAGATCAACGGACAGAAATCATCAAGAGGTGTGTGAGAAGTAAAATGGGGTGTGTGGATAGGACACCCCTAAATTTTAGATGCTCAACAAAATAAATATTATGGGGTCACCTTGAAGAGCATTCTCCAGCCTCAACAAAGGTTACTAAAGTATGGCTAACATAAGAGTTTCGGTGGTGGTGTTTCATGGATAACCCTAAACTTTTATTTTACCTCGGGTGTCTCCCTTCCTAGCCCTGAGCTCGGAGAAGGAAGAGATAAGAGGGTCCTATGGAGAATGTGGTCAGAAATCCATAATAGAGTCCGACCACAACGACCGAATTGATTATCTTTATGCATAAAAACAAAGAATCAGGTATCATGGCAATAAAAACAAACAATCAGGTATCTGGTCCATCGATCGTAGGAGTCAACTGATGATTTGAAATACTAAATGCTTAACTTCCTTCTATGTACATCTACTCCAGGTTATTACCTTCAGGGAAAATAACTTGAATCTCAGATGCCTTGTCTGACTCTACTTCTCCATCCAGATCGAAATTAATCCCTGGAGACGCTGCCCTTCTGACCTGCAGCATGCATGTAACACCATGGTTAGTAATGACATAAATGAGGCAATTCAGTATCACTTTCCCTGTGGTCGAGTAGCCTTGGCAACTGGCTCCTTAACATCATGAGGCAATTCAGTATCACTTTCCTCTTGAGTGGCGTTCGCCTCACCAACTATAAGACAAACAAAGACAATACTCCTCAAACTACCATATCATAATTCTTCACACTCCTCAAATACAATACCCAAGTTAATCTCGGCATATACATACCTTCATCACTGGGTTGCGCTGCTTGCTGCCAATCAAAAGAAAAATGAACAAATAAACACCATATGCCACACGTCGGGAAAGCTTAAAGTATACTTGAAATTGATTGAATTAGGTTTCAAAAAAATGTAAAAAGCTTACAACTTTCAATCTTTTGAGGATGCTATCGAATTGAGTTGTATCGAATGCCCATTGGTTAGGCTTCTCTACACCAACACCTATTCAATACAATCATATTAACACAGACCTATAAATTTTCTGTTTCCATTCACCAAAAAGCAAATAATAATAAATAAAAAAGTTGCCATTTCCAAGTTAATTTATTACTTCAAACAAGCAACTCAACAAGCAGAAAATTGAAACGATAACATATATATAAACACAAACGCATATACGTATATGTATATATAGAAAGAGATAGGACAAACCAGCATTGTCCTGCTTGTTTTTTACTCTGACATAACCTTTGATCCCCTGCTTGTCTTTCCCAAGACCTTCTCCTTCTTCCCATCCCTATATTTACAAAACCCCAATGAGTAATTACCTTAAGTAAAAATAAAAGCCCAAATAAAATGGAAAAAAAAATTGAAAAGCATGTGGGATTATACTGAAGAGAGACAGGGGAGCACCATTTGTTTCATGAGGCGGAAAGCGGCGGATTTTCTGGCGACGCCGACGTAACAGAGGGGGGCTTCGGCGGCCGCCATGGTTAGGGTTTTGCTTCTCCGACTCCGGCGACCCACCAGCCACGATCTGCGCCCGTCTCTGTTTTTGTTCCGGGTGTCGAGGAGTAAAGAGAAAAAGGAAGTTGCAGAGCGAAAGCTCCAAACCTAATGGAGGAACTCTCAGGGACTCAATACGAGGTCGTTTCGGGTTTTCCAACTTGTTTGGGTTGGGTTTCAGACTCGCGAGTCAAAATATAGGTACAAAGGTTTGGGCCGTTTGGCATTCAAATAAGGTTTTGGAACATAATTCATAATTTCTGAACGGGTTTTATTCACAACTCACATCTCACTTTACTACCTCTAAATAATGTTTTGACATCTCTTCATCTGCAAATAATTCTCGATGTGAAAATATACATTGGTCCTTGAAATTTGAATACAAAAAAGTGGATCACCAAGGTTCCAAATGAATTGGCTTATTCGAAAAAACTTTTTTTTTAGAAGATCTATCGCGTGTCTGGTAATACATGGTTCTACTCTGCAGAGAACTTCGATTCATTTTCTTAAAGCCCATCCACTTCATCATAAACGATCCGCTTAACCCGAAATGGTGAAAGTTGAATTTCACCTACTTAAAATTTGAATTTTGTGACACTTTCATACGGTTTTGGATCAAAACTAATTATTTTCTTTTCATCTTTTTGGACTTTGTTAGCCCAATTACAACATAAAATTTCATTATTGCTAAATAATCCTTATATTCAATATGTCACCGAACTTCAAAGTTCAACAACTAATATAGTTACAACTCAAGAATGAATAACTTCAAAGTTCTATCAACCTTTAAATTCGACATCCTTCTCTAATTATTAGCCAATAAGAGAACTATACAAGTGAAATAAATATATAAGATGTCGGTTTGATTCGATTTATAACCAGTTTACTAAAAATAAAATTTAAAATTTAAAATTAAAATTAAAAAAAAACCTCAAAATTGTAACCAGACTAATTGACTACAGTTCTGTTGGATTTTGGACTGTTTACTCTTTCTTTGATCAAAATCAAAATCAAAATCAAATGGCCGTTATAATTATGAGATGGGATTTGAACTTATATCGTCGTACAAAACTTAATATTTTTCCATTGCTATAGTAAAGGGCATGTGAGTTTAAATGTACTATTTATGTCAGTAGTTGAGCCAACAAATAAATCCATAGCCAAAGTTTTTAAAATCTTAACCACCTTAGGACGATAAACAATGAATGAGAATTATTCCTCCTTTACAAATTAGGACGGTGGGTGGAAGAGGTGGCACAACACAAAAGACATAGGGTCCTCCTGCCCTTCCTATATAAACATGGCAAACAATCACCAGACGCACCTCTGCGTCGCCAGCGTGTTCTAGAACCCGCGTGTCCCTAGATTGAGGTGCATTTTTGATGGGGTCTTTGTTCGGTGACTGGCCGTCGTACAACCCTCACAACTTCAGCCAGCTCCGACCATCCGATCCTTCAAACCCTTCTGTGAGTTTTCACTTTCTGAAATTCTGAATCAAACCCCTTTTTCCACCTTCTTATTCAAGCTGAATAGTCGTGCAAAGATTTCGTTTTTGTTGAAGTTCTTGATTTTTCTGAATTGGGTGGTTCTTAATTCAGTTAAAGGTGAGGAATTGTGGTTTTTCTGTCTGCATCAAGTTTATTTCTGGGACCTGTTTGAATTTCATAGGAAATTTGGAGTAATTTTTGTAATTAGTTATAACTAGGAGATTTTTGTGCAGATTTTACTTCTAAGTTTATGGTAATCGTAATTGATGTTGCAGCAATGTCATTGTAAATTTGTAATGGTAAAGTGTGTGTAGCTTAATATAAATATAGAATTTCAGGTCATAAATTTACCACTTTTGTTGAATTTCACAATCCTGAAATCGGCTTAATGATATTTGGTTAAGATGGTGCGACTGTTTGGAATTGGATCATCGTCTTGAATTATGCTATATGTTTGATTTTGTGATCAATGAACAATAAGCTGTTGTTGCTTGTGATTTGTAATATTTGGATCTAAATTACGTTCGATATTTCTGTTAATCACTTCACTGATCTCTAAAAGTTTCGTGCTTTGTTATTGCATTGATCTTATATAAGTGTAATTATCAAGATTGGTGCTTTGTTCCAGTTACGATATACTGTACTGTATTGCTCAATTCTCATAGAGTTCGTAAGAATTTTGAAATCAGAAGCATAATTCATAGCTATGCAATATCTCATAATTTTTAACATTCGGATTGAAGTTACATGGTTAATTTACCATTTTCATGAAGCTGATTCACTGGCTTTCTTAGTTAAGGTAGAAATACTAGCATTTAAAGAGCGTCCTAAATTAGTTTTGCCTTCCTGAATCCGAGCTATAGAGAATATCCGCATAACCTGTCAGATATAAGGTGTTTTTCTTGTCTTCTGATTGGCGGGTTCTTGTCAAAACCAACCCAAAACCAAAACCAATCGGTAATGGGTGGAGAGACCTGATTCAAGTTTAAACTGTGAGATGTGTGGTTACTATATTCTCATCATTGCCATTCACGTATAGTGGAACTAAGACCAACACGTGTGGTTAGCAATGTTAGGGCACATGAAGTGTGTGTGAACAAAGACACGGAATGAATTGTCCACTGCCATGTTTAATTTTCAACATAAACTTCTGGTGCTTGAGCTTTTTCCGGAAATGGTTGATATGTGCTATAGCTGAATTTTGGATTTGTTTCAAACCAACTGAGCTGGCATTGTGGGCCACTAGGACGAAATCACTGAAAACGTTACAATGTTACAAACATAGAAATATAGTAAGTCGGAGAAAATTACACGTGCTCTTTACATCTCATACTCTAATTATAGAGAGAAGCACGATTTTTGGTAAAAGGTTGCTTCGTGATGATTCTGAGTCATACGTTCATACATTCTGGTGGGTATCAGCCATTGTTTGGCTTGAGTTAGTGTTGATGTAGTGAAACGAGCCTATCTAATGAAAATTATCTCTCTGTTCCAACCACCAGACTAGTATATATTTGAGCTTATATTCTGCTAATAGAATTATAAACAATTTAATTACAGCTGAAGAGTGCTGGCTGCTTTGCTGTTGGACCTGCTTTTGGTCACGGCCCCAGATTAGGATGGAATGTTCATTGCTCAAGTAATATTTATAGCCTTTCATGGGTCCCTAGGGTACTCGTAGATGCATCTTCAAAAACTGAAGGGATATAATCAATCTAATTATTGCTTTCTTGTTCTTTTAGCAGCCAAAAGAAAAAAGGAAAACGAGAAGATGTTATGAGTTATGCTATGATGTAAAGTGATCAAAGTCAAATGCATTCTTTTCTTCTTTTTAAGTAATGCTTCCATTTTTGTCTGTAGAAAATGACACCTGCAACCTACTATCCTACTCACAACCGGACTCTTCCGCCACCTGATCAAGGTATTAATGAATTTGTATTTCCTTAGTGTTTCATTCTGGATTGTTATTCTTTTCTATTATTTCCCTATTTTTCCCATTTCTGTTGATTAATTTTCCTTTCCGTGTTGTATTATTGTGACTCTTTGAGAAAGGTCCATTCTAGTTAGTTAAGCTTTTTAAAATAAATCCTGAAAACTGCAAGTTGATCTGTTCTGGACGTGGTTTTGACTCTAGATATTCGTTAGGCAATGTGAAATCGTGTAGTTTGACAACGTGAAATTGACCCTATCAAAACCCCTTTGCAGTGATAACTAATGAAGCCAAGAATATCCTTTTGAGGCACATGTATCAGCATTCTGAAGAGAAGGTACTTGATCAGCATTACATCCGCACTTGACGCCCGGTTTCCCCCTTTTCACATGAATGCTTACATACACATGATTGAGAGAGTGAGAGAGGCTTTCTTCTAGTTTTTCATGGACTTTTTCATTGCAGTTGAGACAAAAGCGGGCAGCGCCAGAAAAACTCTCACCGGAGCCTGTATGCAAGCAACAGAGGTATTCTGTCTCAGATACTGCCTAATAAGCTAAACTGCCTCTGACACTTTCCAAATGGGCATGACTTGTTTGTTGCTGAAAATTAGAAGCTCAAACAAACCCATCGATGTGAATAGTATTGTCAGTGTCAAAGATGCGCGGTGTGTGCCTCGTCGCAGACAGAAGGGGTTAATGCTTGCGCGTTTGTGTGTAAACTAAGCTATACAGCTTAAAAAGGAATGAAATCGTTAGATATACGCTTTGCTCTATGTTCTCTTGCCTTAGCACCATTGGCTTTGCTTGGTATAGAGATTGGATTGGAATGGATAACCCTCTAAATTCAAGGTGTTTTGAAGGTAGAAGGGGAATGATTTTTCAACGAGGGGATTAAAAGGAATTAGACTTGAAGAAAACTTATCCCTTCTAATTTGCTCATTTCGGAAGGATTGGAATGGACAGTTTTTCTTGTAGAGTAATCAATCTCCTTCCTCCAAGTTTGCCACATAATTTTCATTCCTTTTAAACATATCGTGAAAATGGTTATTCATCCATTCCAATTCAATCTTCTATACCAAACAAGGCCATGGAGAGAGGAACCATGTTCCACGCAGAAAATGAATGCATAAATTTAGGCGCAGAAATGATTCTTATATGAAATGGGTTCATATTACCTCTATCTCATGAAAGCAAATAAACATGCGAACATACAAGGCTTGTTTGTCTTTGTATTTGGCAATTTTACACTGCCAAAATTGTAATTATTATTCTCCAAATCAATTTCCAGAAATGGAGATAACAAAATTGGTTCATCCTCCATCTATCCATGGATTAAGTTTAGGTTAGGTTTGGTATTGAGTGACTTTAAAAAAAGTGGGTACGAAAAAAAGTTGGGAGAGTTTTTGGTGTTTGGTAAACACTCCAAATCAGCTTTATTTCAAAGTTTTAGACGAAAAAAAGCTAAAAATGGGAAGCTGCAAAAAGCAGCTTCTTGTGAAAACACGGAGCTACAATAATTTTATTAATGAAATTTTCAAATTGCTAACATTGCCCTCCGTTCTCTCTGCCTTCTCTCTCTCGCACACCCTCCTTTCCTAGAACATTTAGAGATTCATGCACGCCCTCTTCTCCTCTGTTGCTTGCCGCTGCACCTCTTCCTCTTCCTCTTCCTCCTTTTCCTCTCTCTCCGTCGGTCTCAGCGCCACAAACACTGTCGTCGCCTTCCCTCATTCTCTCGCCGTCGCCTTCCCTCCTTCCTTACGTCGAATCCTTATGACAATGAATCCAGAACGAAATCGCGCTAAAGCTAGGACGTCACCCGTAAGTGGCGCGTTGTGTGGCCCGAGCACAGTGATAAGTGAGCAAGGGTCGCTGTATCTCCATCGGCACCCGGATGCAGTGTTAAATGAGCAAGGGGGCCATAGAAACTTCTTTTCGAACGACTCCACTCAAAGTTGTTTGGGAGCATATGCTCCTATCAACTTTACACAGGACACACAAAAGAAGTACTTTGATCCTATTAGACGGGGGATGGTGAAGAAGTTAGGACAGAATGGTAGAGTTCAAGAGAGTAGAATGCGTTTAGGAACGTGGAATATAGGAACCTTAACTGGAAAATCTATGGAAGTAGTGGAAGTTATGGTGAGGAGAATGATAAATATTATGTGCCTACAAGAAACTAAATGGGTTGGTCTTAAGGCAAAGGATCTAGAAAACTCAGGGTTTAAGCTTTGGTATTCGGGCACAAATAGAACGAGAAACGGTGTTGGCATCATTGTGGACAAGACCTTGACACAAGATGTTGTAGATGTCAAGAGGGTAGTAGATAGAATCATGGCAATCAAGATTGTAATAGGACAAGAACTCATCAATGTGATTAGTGCGTACGCACGTCAAGTAGGGTTGGATACGAGTTCGAAGGAGAAATTTTGGGAAGACCTTGGAGACTTGGTGCAAGGAATTGCTCAGACGGAGAAGTTATTTATAGGAGGAGATTTAAATGGACACGTGGGCAGGGAGACAGGCAACTATGGAGGTTTTCATGGTGGCCATGGTTTTGGGGAGATAAATGAGGATGGGGAAGCTATCTTGGATTTTGCAATGGCATATGATCTCTTCTTAGCCAACACCTTCTTTAAGAAGAGAGAAGAACATGTAATCACCTACAAGAGTGGGTCGTCAAAAACACAAATAGATTTTCTTCTAATGAGGAAAGGGGATCGTATAACTTGTAAGGATTGCAAAGTTATACCGGGGGAGAGCTTGGCTAATCAACATCGCTTGTTGGTGATGGATGTACATATCAAAAAGAGTGAGAAAAAAGAACAAGACTTGGAAGTGCCCAAAGACTAGATGGTGGAATCTAAAAGGAGAAAAACAAGTCATTTTCAAAGAGCAAGTAATCACCCAGTGTGTGTGGGATAGAGAGGGGGAAGCTAGCCAAATGTGGGATTCCATGACTAGCTGTATCCGAAAAGTAGCAAAAGAGGTATTAGGAGAGTCCAAGGGTTTTGCTCCACACCAAAAGGAATCTTGGTGGTGGAATGAGGAGGTACAAACAAAGGTGAAGGCTAAGAAGGAATGTTGTAAAGCCTTATACAAGGATAGGACCGATGAAAATGGTGAAAGGTATAGAAAAGCGAAGCAAGAGGCGAAGAAAGCTATGAGAGAAGCTAAGTTAGCGGCTTATGACGATATGTATAAGCGACTAGATACCAAAGAAGGAGAGTTGGATATCTATAAACTAGCTAGAGCAAGGGAAAGAAGACAATGGACCTAAACCAAGTGAGGTGCATCAAGGATGAGGATGGAAAAGTTCTTGCTACAGAGAACGGGGTTAAAGACAGATGGAGAGGTTATTTTCATAATCTTTTCAATGAAGGACATGAAAGAAGTACTCCTTTAGGGGAGTTGAGTAACTCAGAAGAGTGTAGAAACTACTCATTTTATCGTCGAATCAGGAAGGAAGAAGTGGTTGTAGCTTTGAAGAAGATGAAGCATAGAAAAGTAGTGGGCCCAGACGATATACCGATTGAAATGTGGAAAGCCTTGGGAGAGACAGGTATAGCATGGCTCACTGACCTTTTCAATAGGATTTTGAAAACGAAGAAGATGCCAAACGAGTGGCGAAAGAGCACCTTGGTGCCTATTTACAAGAATAAGGGCGACGTACAAAATTGCATGAACTATAGGGGTATTAAACTAATGAGTCATACAATGAAGCTTTGGGAGAGAGTCATTGAGCATAGATTGAGGCAAGAGACATGGGTTTCGGACAACCAATTCGGGTTCATGCCAGGGCGCTCAACCATGGAGGCAATCTATCTCTTACGAAGATTGATGGAAAGATATAGAGATGGGAAAAAGGATTTACACATGGTCTTTATAGATTTGGAAAAAGCGTATGATAAGGTCCCAAGAGACATTCTTTGGAGGATTTTAGAGAAGAAAAGAGTACGAGTAGCATATATCCAAGATATAAAGGATATGTATGAAGGAGCAAAGACTGCCGTAAGAACTCATGAAGGACAAACCAAAAGCTTCCCCATAACTGTAGGATTACATCAAGGCTCATCCTTAAGTTCTTACCTTTTTGCGTTGGTAATGGATGAGTTAACAGGACATATTCAAGATGATATTCCTTGGTGTATGCTTTTCGCAGACGATATAGTGTTGATAAATGAAACTCAGGAAGGGGTAAATGCGAAGCTTAACCTTTGGAGAGAAGTGTTGGAATCTAAAGGTCTTCGCCTAAGCCGATCAAAGACAGAATATATGGAGTGCAAGTTCAGTGCAAATGGAGGCCAAAATGAGTTAGGGGTGAGGATCGGAGATCAGGAAATACCAAAGAGCGACCGTTTTCGCTACCTAGGATCTATCTTGCAAAAGAACGGAGAATTAGATGGAGATCTCAACCATAGAATACAAGCTGGATGGATGAAGTGGAAGAGTGCATCCGGCGTGTTGTGTGATCGTCGTATGCCACTGAAGCTTAAGGGAAAATTTTATAGGACGGCAATAAGGCCGGCGATGCTGTATGGCACAGAATGTTGGGCGGTGAAGCACTAACACGTACATAAAATGGGTGTAGCGGAGATGAGGATGCTTCGTTGGATGTGTGGGCACACGAGAAAGGATAAGATTAGGAATGAGGATATCCGAGGTAAAGTAGGAGTAGCCGAAATTGAAGGAAAACTGAGACAAAATCGGTTACGGTGGTTTGGACATGTGCAAAGAAGGCCTACTGATGCTCCGGTTAGAAGATGCGACTACGGGACAGAGGTTCAGGGCCGAAGGGGTAGAGGAAGACCTAGGAAAACTTTGGAAGAGACTCTAAGAAAAGACTTAGAGTACTTGGATCTAACGGAGGACATGACACAGGATCGAGCACAATGGCGTTCTAAGATTCATATAGCCGACCCGACTCAGTGACTCGGATTTTTCAAGTCTCCAATCGAGAAGTTTTCCCCACTCGGGAAATTAAGGGAACACTACCTCAACCTACATGCTCCACTCACAAAGCTTCAACATACAAGCTTCAACAAAAGAAAAATTCAAAGAACTTAGTGAAGAAGGCTTTGGTGTATTTAACACAATACGTTGAAATGAAACAAAGCTTATTTATTGATATCTCTAAGAAGTTACAAATATGTACATATACACGAGTCAAAATAAACAAACAAGAGGGAGCCTTCACAAAGGTTGCTTAGGAGAAGTCTCAGCAATCGGCAGAGCCCCAGAAAGAGAAGGCACCGGAGGGGGATCATTCGGAGCCTCAGTACTGGACAGCACCCTAGAAGGAGGAGGCATCGGAGGTTGATTATTTGGAGCTTCATTACGCGGTACAGCCCCAGAAGACGAAGGCAATAAATGCCTTTGGAACAAACCCACAAACCTCTGATGATCATGTAAAATCTGACCATCAGATTCTTTCATCTGGTCAAGCTTCCTTTTCATGTTTGTAGCATAGTCATGAGCGAGCCGGTGCAACTATTTATTCTCATGCTTGAGCCCTTTAATCTCCT